TTCACAGCTTCATTCCAAAAACTGGTCAATGTAAGGCTGATTTAGGGCTCTCCAACCACATTTTCTAAAATATTTCTCCACCTGTTACTATCTAAGATTTTAAATTAAATACATTAAAAGAAACTCATCCTATGCTTTACTCCTGCAGGGGCAAAAGTTGGACCCGATCTGTGTTTCAACCTGAACAAACGGGGTGAGGAAGGCTCCAGCTGTGGACGAGACAAATCTGGCTTTATCCCCTGTTCTTCAGTGTATGTTTCAGCCATCACACTCATCCAGATGCAGCACTGTGCAAAGTTTTGAGCAACTCCTACTTTCTTTATGTGCTCCTTCAAAGGAGACTTTCCAAAGTTTTTCCTGTGGACACTTTCCCTCCATTTTTAGTCTCATCTCTAACCTCCGAATCATTAAAACAGTCATACTGTATTAATTTAGTCTTCAGGTGTTTCAGTCACTGAACCCATTTCCTTTGAAAGACTTTGCACAGTGCTGAAACTTAAAGAAATTCATGGTGACACTTATCTGAACTCTCCGCAAGTTTTTGATTAATTTATCCTTCTTTTTGTTCAGGGATGTGAAGTGTGGGACGATGTTCTGTGTCGGAGGGGGGGAGTCCATCACAGGTAAACGGGCAGGATACCCCATGTTCGGCATGGAGTGTAAGCTAGCTGTGGAGGACGACAAAATCAGAAACATCGACATGGTCCCCACAGGAACCAGCTGTGGGACAAACAAGGTAAAACCCCAGAATTGAACCTTCACAAACACATATTTAAAATGATGTTTGAAGTTTTGCTAAGACTGAACTGTTTGTGAGCAGGTTTGTCTCAGTAACAAGTGTGTGGACGTCTCCGTTTATGGCAAAAAGGAAGAATGCTCAAAGAAATGCGGCGGGAAGGGGGTGAGTTTAAAGGAAACATTCACACGCCACGCTACGCGTCTCGTGTTGCAACCAGTGTTTGGGATTCACGGCTCATGTTAAGAAATGTTTTCCCACACGGCTCCAGCTGGATCACGTGCTGCTCAGACTCCCACCAGGCAGACTGGCCCACTTCCAGCTGGCTGCCCACAC